TGCTCCCTTCAGCTGTGTACTTCGTCAATCTGTCTGTTCTGCTCCCCACTCTGTCTCTGGTGAATCCTCTCACCCTCCGCATCTCTGGCCTATACCCCAGTTCTGTATGAATAAATAAATAAATCTTTAAAAAAAATAAAAAAAGCAAAACAGTTTGGCAATGGCCTAAGAACAGATTTACAGGAGCTGCCTGGTGGCACAGGAGCTAAAGACACAGTACAATCAAGCTATCAGAAACCACTGCAGCATGAGTTCCATCCCCAGCCAGATTGCTGACCCACACAGCGCAGCAGACCTCTCCTGCATCCAGTTTCTCTCTTAGCAATGTATTTCAGTAGATCTGCCTGTTCTGACCTCTACTCTCTCTGGTGAGTCTTCATGTCCTCCAATCACTAGCCTACACACAAGTTCTTATTTGCATAAATAAAACTTTCAAAAAGTTAAAAAAAAAAAAACAGACTTACAGGAAAAAAGAAAATAAATGAACATACGGAAATAAATTCTTTAATTTATGATCAGTTGATTTGAACAGTGGTACCAAAATAAATCGATGATCAAAGAACAGATTTTACAACAAAAGGTACTAGGACAAGTAGACATCCACATGCGAAGGTGCGAAGGAATGAATATGGACCCAATACTTTATTTCATATATAAAAATTAATTTGAGGGCCCTTCCTTGTGGCTCAACGGGTTAGGATGCAGCAGTGCAAGCTGGCTGCAGCCGCTTCAGTGCAAGTTCAATCCCCGGTGCCGGAGGTGATCCACATGGCACCGCAGACCTCTCCTGACTCTCCCACTGCTCCCCTCAGCAATGTTCTTTGTTGATCTGCCTGTTCTGCTCCCCACTCTGTCTCTGGTGAAGCCTCTAAATGTCCCTGCACCTCTGGCCTGTTCCCACATTCTGTATGCATAAATAAATAAATCTTTAAAAAATAATAATAATTCTAGGCCCTCCCTGGTGGTGCAGCAGGTTAAAGCACAGCACTGAGAAGCTAAAGCCACTTCCATATGAGTTCGATTCCTGCTTGCCCCAGAGGTGACCACATGGTGTGGCAGACCTCTCGTGGCTAGACCGTTGCTCCCCTCAGCCGTGTACTTGGTAGATCTGCCTGTTCTGCTCTCCACTCTGTCTCTGGTGAAACCTCTACCGCCCCTGAGCCTCTGGCCTGTACCCCAGTTCTGAATGTACAAATAAAATAAATCTTTAAAAAATAAATAAATAAATAATTCTAAAGGGATCACAGACTACTTAATATGATAGCTAGAACTCTTAGAGGGAAACACAGATGAAAATCTTTGTGACTTTACTTTACACAATGGTTTCTTAGGTATAATAACAAAGCCACAAGAAACCAGAGAAAGAAAACTGGTTTTCACCAAAAATTTAAAACCTCAGGTTGCTTCAAAGTACACCATTGAGAAAGTGAAAAGACAACCCACAGAATGAGAAAAAATATTTGCAAATCAAACATCTGATAAGGGTTTACTGGATAAGTAAAACACCTATGAAACAATGAAGAAATAATCCAATTTTTTAAATGGACAAAAGAATAGATATTTCTCCAAATATACAGAAAATTAAATGACCATAAACACATGCAAAGATGCTCAATATCTTCACAGAAAAGCAATCAAAACCACAGTAAAACACCACTGTTCCTACAAAAAAAGTAAACCGTCGGCCCTCCCTGGTGGCGCAATGGGTTAATGTCAGCATTGTGAAGCTATCCTCAGCCACTGCAGCACTAGCAGGATCCCTTGACAGGGAGATAGCACACATGGTGAAGGTGAAGCAGACCTCTTCGGTCTCATCTGCTGCTCCTCTCAGCAGTGTATTTCAGTCAATCTGCCTGTTTCTGCTCCCAACTCTGTCTCTGGTGAATTTTTTCACCACTACCCCCATCCCCACACCTCTTGCTTGTACCCCCGTTCTTGTATGAATAATTAAATAAAATTTTTTTTAAAAAAGTAAACTTGTGTTGAAGAGGATGTGGACGATTAAACTCTCAACTGCTAAAAGGAATGTAAAATGATGGAGCCTCTATGGAACAAAATTTAACTGCTTCCGAAAAAATTAAACAATTGGTAAATATGATCCAGTAATTCCACTCCTGGATATAATACCTGAGAACTAAAAACATTCACTAAAAAAAGAAAAAAACTTGTGATGGGAAACCCACGGGGATTACAACTGAGATGGGAAAAAAATGTACAAAATGATGTAAAAATAAACTATTATATATTTTCTTATTTTATTTATTTATGCATACAGAACTGAGGTACAGGCCATAGGTACGGAGAGTGAGAAGATTCACCAGAGAACAGGCAGATCAACGAAGTACACGACTGAGGGGAGCAGCGGGAGGATCAGGAGAGGTCTGCCACACCATGTGGTCGTGGTCACCTCCGGGGAAGGCAGGGATCTAACTCATGCTGAAGTAGCTTTAGGTTCTTAGTGCTGTGCTTTAACCCCCTGTGCCACAGGGAGGGCCTAAAAGAGTACTTTTTTTATCAGAATAAATAGTCTTTTTGAAGTTAGAAAAAAAAAAGAAAAAAACTTGTACAAGAAAGTAGATATCAGCATTATTCATAGTTGCCAAAAAGTGGAACCATACAAACATGTGATAACAAGAGATAGTCAAAATGTGGTCAGTACACCCATATAATGGAATATTTTTCACTCATAAAAAAGGAGTACTATTACATACTATAAAATGTACAAATTATAAAAAGCAAGCTAAGTAAAAGACACTGTACACAAAGAGCCACATATTGTGTGATTCCACTTACATGAAATGTCCAGAATAGATAAATTCATAGAGACAGAAAGTAGCTTAGTGGTTGTCAAGGGATGAGGAAAGAACTGGGACTGACAAGGTTTCTTTTGGGCTGATGGAAATGTTTTCAAGTGGTAGTGATGACTGTACAACATAGTAAATATGCAAAAAATTACTCAACTGGGCACTTTATAAGAAGAGTAGATTTATATTTGTGAATTACATCTCAGTAAAAAATGAGATAAATAATATTGAAACTAAAAACCAGAGCAGTATTGTGCCATCCTAGCCCCTAAGGCCAGTCTGTGTGGGTACTTGCATTAGCAAAAAAAAATAATAATAATAATAAATGTATCAGTTGCATGAAGATATTCCTTCTCCACGTCTCTCTCCATTAACGGACCTAAGAACACTAAGTTATGATTATGTTTATTCCTTTTTTTAGTGAAGAAAGGGAAATATGGAAAATCTGAAATGATCTCTTATATCACAATAGGCTTTTCTTGCCATTATAAACTCATTCTATATGAAGGAATATGCTACCATAACCAGAAACATGAGAGTTATTCTAGTTTCCTTCTCTCTCATTCTTCTCATCCAATCAATAAAATCCTACCTATTTTAGGTCTTAGCTATCAAGTATTTCCTCAGTCAGTACTCTCTTCTCTACTCCTATTCTACTATACTCTACAACCCCACACTTGCTTCTAGTCTTGTTTTCTTTACAACTAACACAAATGCTACTATCAGGAACATCTACATAAACTAATAGGCTTAACCACTAAAATTTTTCATTGGCTCTCTAGCATTTACAGCACTTGAAACCTATTTATGTTTCCAGGAAGCATCACTGCATATCAATCCCTAACCCACTTTCCACGTTAGTAACAGCTTGCTTAACCCATTTGCTCAGTCTGTAAAAGCTAACCAAAACAACCAAAAAAATGTAATCTCTCCCACCCCTAAATTTCTCTAGCAGTTTCTTATGTACATTTCCCTAAGCAATTCATCAGTTTCTACTTTGCACTATTTTTTGTTTTTCTCCCTTGACAGAAAAACAGTGACCTAAACTATTTCTCAGTGCATTTAGAATCTCCATAGAACTATCATTCAAATATATATGATGATTGATATAAGACACATATAAGTGCTCTGGAAGCATTATCACATTTCAGGATTTACTTGCTTGTAATCTAAAATGTTGGGGGCGGGGGCATTTCATCCTCCCTCAGGCACCTTCCCAATTTCTGAATAATTACCATTCCAAATAGTAAAATCATAGATTAGGGACCAAAATAAATGAAGTTTAAAAAAAGAAAAATCTAAAAGTTGATCCCAGAGCAAAAACATATATATGTGTATGAATGTATGTATACATACACTGTAACTGAATGAATGAATACCATGCACCACTTCCTTTTAATTTATATAAAAAGAAACCAACAATTATAACTAACCTAACATTTAAAGGGATTTAAATGCAGACAGTTTTTTATGCAGATTTTTGTAAACACAGTGATTGATGCAAACATATCTTTGTCAACAAAGATTTATAAACAAAGAGAAAAACCCTTACCACCTAATTACAAACTGAACCTGAAAAAACAAATTTTGAACGCTAGGAAATTTATATATCCAAGTTTGACACTGTTGCAATCTCAGACATTAACAAGACAAAAAAAAAAAAAAGGAACAATTTCACTTATAGTAAAACATCTCAAAAAACGCCTTCATTAAAAGAACATGCAGCATTAGAATCCCAACAGCATTTTCTGGCTTAGATGTCCTTTCAGGACAATGACAAGTTCATCACTAAGCGGAACTCACTTGAAGAGTATTGGTCCTCAAGTTTTTCACACAAAAACACATGTCACTGACCCCTTGCTCAAAATAACAGTGCTGAAAGGCTGATTTCGTTTTAGGAATTGGAAAACACTTACAACATGGCTTTGCAAAAAGTCCAGTTGAGCAAATGCGCGCTTCAACTTACTGACGTCGAGATCCCCTTTCATCACAGATACACACACACACACACACACACACACACACACACACACATCCCGCCGAAGCATCCTACCAACCTGGCTACTGCCTCGGACGCGGGCCGGAGCCCGGCGGAGTGAGGACTGGCTTCGGAACCTGCGCCCAGTGCCTCTGACACTAAAGCCAAAGCCGGCTGATTCCTTCCCCCGCGACTCCCGCGTCCCCTGGGCCACGTAAGTCAGCTCGCGCCCCGACTCACCCTCTGTAGTTTTTCCAGGACCTGCCCCAAGTACAGGTGAGGGGCTGTCCTGGGCCCCTCCATGGCGCCAAGGCTACCTGACAGTCGTGGCCACAGCCAGGGCCTGGCCGGGCCACGACAGTCGCCAGAGAACACGCAGCGTTCGGTCCGGAACTCAAACCCTCGTCGGCAAACGGAACACACCACTGCGGAGCCGGCAGCAGGGAGGCTCGTGGGCAACCGGCGTCCCACGGCCTGCAGGATCCTCGCTGCCCAAACGGGGAGCCTCGGCCCATAGGGTAAGCTTTAAGTGCCGAGGCTCTTCCCGCCTCCGGTCGCCCAGCAGAAGCCTGACGCGCGCCTCTCCCCGCCGTCACACCCCCGGGTTTGGTTTCGGCCGGGCGGGGGGCGGGGCGGCGCTAACTGCCCTCCCACTTCGCGCAACTCGGCCGACGTGTCCTGGGCGTTTGCTCTTAAAGGGGCAGGCGCTCCCCCAGACCAAATCACCGCCGTAAGTAGTCGGTAGCTTGGGACTGAGAGACCCTGGAACGTGGCCTCAAGCTTTGAGCTGTGGTCTGAAGCGCGCACCCCGCGAGGCAGCGGCTGTGAACCCGGACTTCCCAGCCCGGGTGGACGCGGCAGCGGGAGGGCTGCCCTTGAAGGCCCTTTGGCCCTGGAGCGGGCGCCAGCCCAGCCTCAAACCCGAGGTTTTCTCTCTCAGAGCCGCTGGAGCCTGTATCTATATTCCACCCAGCGTTGAAAGCATCGTACCCTGGGAGACCCAGCCTGCTACGGAAAGCCGACCTCCACCTTCGCTGCGGTCAGAAATGGGCCTGCGGGGCCCGGCTGGTGCGTCCTTCCAGAAGTGTCCAGACTTTGTACGCGAAAGCCTCCCGACTCAGCTGTGCTCGGGGCGAAGTTCAGTTGCTGCAGCCGACCGACCGAAGCTGAGTCGAGCCACCTCTGGACAACGGGGGTTCAGGGTTCGAGGGCTTTACTCACTGATATGCGCTACCCCGGCACCCGCCTGGCAGCCCCGTCTGAAAAGCCTCTAGCGCTGGGCTACACAACCCCACCTTAAACCTAGCTGAGCCTCAGCTGGGCGCGTGCTTTCTTCTCTGGGCCAGAAGCTAAAAGTAGCACGTTGCCCTCTAAATATAGGAGCCTGTCTTTGGTTCCGTTGAGTCAAGTCCTGAGGACTGAATTTGTTAGTGAGAGACGGTTTTAGCTGACCTAGGTGTCAGGGAGGGATAAGCCGTCTCTAGTCTTCCATGCCAGCCCAATGACCAGGCTCACCAAATGCCTTGGGGAAGCAACTCAGAGGAGCACAGAACTTCCTCCCCAGCAGATCACCCAAGAGAACTCAACGCAAGAACAAAATGTTAAATTCTTGAGAAATTTTCTTAATGCAAGTTCTAGCAACAACCTAAAGGTTGTGCCAAAGAGAGTTTTAAAGCAGTAGCCCAAGTTCAGGGCAAGTGGTTTTTAAGAGTAAGATGTTTGCTGAACTCAGCTTTGCTCAATATTTGCCACATCTGCCTAAGGAATTTCAGGAACTCTCAGTGTCAGAAGCAGTAGAAATTGCTTAGCTAGTCTCCTTGTTTAAACTGTTATACAACCTTCATCGGAGGTACTGTGCCGAAATTACATTTGGTGAATTTTAGTTTATAGTCAAAACTGACACATATCCAAAATTTTCTCTTTAGAATTTCAAAGACTGAGGACTACCGGTGACTCAGTTGGAACATTGTATTGCTGGACTAAAACTCTGAAGTCTAAACTCCAGAAGCATTTTGAGCTTTTCAGGACCTATTTTGTTTATAATCTAAAACGTTTAAAAAAAAACAAACAAAACACGCAACCCCTTTGCCCTCCCAAGCAAATCCTTGCCCTTTTCCAATTATTCAGAAATCACCATTCCAAGTATTACAAACATAGATTAGGAGAGAAAAGAACAAATGAACTTTTAAAAAAGACAAATCTTAAAATTTCTCCTTGACGCAAAAACAATAAAATTTCAACTCAGTGCCAAGGTCAAAACTAACTTCTATACACAAAATAGTCATATAGAAACTTACCTCTTCCTCTCGATCTTTCAATTTTTTTTAAAGTTCATGTTAAAATATGAAAATAAAACTCTACTAAGTACCTCATCTCCTTGAGAAGGATTTCAGATTGTAGGATATCCTGCACTCTTCTGTTTCCACATTGATTGTGATCCTGTTTTGACAGTTGTGTGGTAAAGGGGTGCTGTAGGTGGAGTTGTGACTACCAACCCATAAATCAATTTCATGGACACCACTGTTACTAAATATATATAAACCCCTAAATGCTATACTTATTACTACCCGCTTAACATCTACAGTGGAAATGAGAAATTTTGATTTGGAAACTGATTCAGTTGTTCTATTCGCTGGTTTGCTCATATAGAGTTCGTGATGTTTACCATGTAAAAGATATTCAAAGGTCGTTCTTCACAAATAGACATGGATTTTGCAATCTTATGTAGTCCTACTTTTATTTTTTTTAATTAAATAGTGAACAAATGTTGTTAGTGTTAATGACAGATAACAGAAAGTATGAAGAACAGAGGAACATACCAACCAGATAATCTTGTCCACACTTAGGAATTGATTTCCCTTATGAAGGGCCCCCATTACAAAGCTCTAAATACTAGTTACACCCACTTAATTAAACAGGCAATGTCAGCCTATCAAATCTAGTGTTTGGAAGAAAATCAAACATGCTGAGCCACATTTACATTCTCTGCACTAGTGATGTAATAGTTCTCAGAAAATACTGAATCAAGAACTACCTGTTGAACAAGAGCTGGGTAATTTCCATTGTTTATTCAACATATAAATGAAGCATTCTAGTTAAGAATATATAAATGATAGAACTGAAAGGCCCTCCTCAAGTATAAATTAGCTCCCTGTACTTGAATAATTCAAAAAATTACATTCTGTACAAAATCTAACTGAAATTACCCACAAATAAAAACAACTCCCTGATACAGTTGGGCAAGAAGAAAAGGAAATGTTTTTAAACTAAATTTACCTGGAAAACTGCTTAAATTTTCCATTTACTAGTTACTCAGAACTATATCATGGGTGCTTATGAGCTAAGATTGTAGAATTCTAGATCTGGCAGGAACTCTTCAGAGCATTATGAACTTTAAACACCACAGAGGCCAGGTACTTAAAATAAATGTAGGGAAACAAAAACTGTGTGTCTTTGAAATCCAAGTACTAAGCAGCTTGAGATTGAGAATGGAAGACTGTAAGTTGTATACTTTCCAGAAGAACTTAGAAATCCAGACTTTTATGTGAATTCACCTTGTAAATGAACTAACTATTGCATACATCTCTAAGCAATGCACAAGACATGCTTGATCAACAACCTATTAACACATCTGGTTTTTATATTTGAGTTTTAAATATGAGACCCCTCCTAAGTTTACAAACTTATTTATTTGCACAAAAATAAGCATACTTTGCATACCTATATTAAACATTTTATATAGAGGTAAGTATGGTGTACAGATTAGTAATTATGTTTTTAACTGAGTCACTTCACTGGTATTATTTTTGCAGGAGGGGAATGACAGGTAAGAGATAGATATACCATCAGCCATAGCAATATGTAGAATTCCATGGGGAGTTGAAAGTTTTTTGACTATTTTTATCATCATTAGTATTATTAATTTTTCTACTCTATGCAAGAACAGATTTCTAAGTAAAGTTTTTAATCAATATCTTCAGGACCAAATCATACATACTAAATTAATCACTGACTGGGCTTATTTGCCAGGTATCCCCTTTGAAATAAAGCAAAGAAATGAAATGAGAGGAGGCCCCTGAAAGCAAGATGATGTATGTTGTTTTGTCTAAAAGACATCACTATCAGCGACACCACTGTCTACCTGTTCACCTTAGCTAGAAACCTGGTAAGTTACCTTCACTGTTCCATTTTTTTCTTGCAACATTTAATCAATAATTAAATCCAACGAATTCTATCTAGAAAAGGTCTATCAAGTTTGTCCTTCCTATCATTTTAACAGTCACCATTGAATATTAGGCCAAAGGTTTTAAAAAGTATTTTGTTAGCCAAACTCAATCCACAAAACATTTTGTCTGACCTGCATATTTGTATTAAAAAAATGAATATTTGCCAGCATACGTATATCTTTTAGACAAAGTATATCCTCGCCAGTTGACTATAATTATTCCCTCTACCTATGCTTCAATCATTTCATTAGTTTGTAAACCCGGATAGAGACTTGCACCGTTTATTTTCTAAACAAAAGTAATAACTTTTGACCATGTTGATAGATCAATGTTATCAATGAAACTTTTTCATTTTACTCTCTGCCTAAAATTCCCCAATCCCTGATCTTCTGCAAGATAAAATTCAACTTCCTATGGTAACATACCAAGCTATTCTTTATCCAGGCCTTGCATTTATCTTCAATCTTATCCTGCATTCAGTGTGAATTGCTACTGGTCTCCCAAAGTGTCATAACCACTCCCACCACTGTGTTTTTAAAAATGCTTTCTTCTCAAAGTATCCTTTCTTTGTCTGGCTAACTTCTACACTTTTCTTCAAAATCAGCTCACATATAATCTCCTCTGGGACACTTTCCAATCTGCTCTTCCTGAGCCTCTCTACCTATCACTCCCAGGCAGCTCCTACTGTTTATTAGTGGTATCCTATGATTATCACGGCCCTGAATTAGGATTATTGCTTTTCTTACTGTGTGCTTAACTAGACTAAACTCTTTGAAAACAACCGTTACAAAATTTCACTTTAGGGGCCTTCCCTGGTGGCACAACAGATTAAAGTGCAGCACTGTGAAGCTAGCCATAGCTGCTTCAACACAAGTTTGATCGCCAGCCAGGGAGCTGACCCACATGGCACAGCAGACCCTCCTGGCTTGCCTGCTGCTCACCTCAGCAGAGCATTTCAGTAGATCTGACTGACCTGCTCCTCACTCTGTCTCTGGTGAATCTTCTTATCCCCCTGCACCTCTAGCTTGTACCTTAGTTTATATGTGCATAAAGAATTTTTTTAACAATAAAATTTAATCTTGAAATACAGATAACACAAATAAATGTACTTCCTCATTATATGGAAGCACTAAATGAAAAAAGGAACTAGCTTTTGTTGAAGATATCTTGTGTGTCAGATACTACAGATAGATACTTTAGCAGTTTTTAGTGTCTCCTTTACAATATTGAGACAGGATATATATGGTGAGATCAACAGTAAATGAAAAAGCAAATAGAGTTTAGAATTTTAGTATTGTTTGATTAAGTTTTGAGATATTAGTCACTTTTATAAAGCTCTCACTTTATGCAATTTGAGGTAGTAGTTCTCATTCAGATATAATTTCTTAAAGATTCATTTTTTATCCATAATACTTCCAAACTAACTCATATAGAATAATTTACCCTGGTTTGGAAAAACTCCTTAACATTGCTGCAACTAAACATTCATCAAAAGAGAAATCTTATATATAAGATTTTATGAAAGGGGGGGAGTTATGTAAACTTTACATAAGAAGGATTCATTCAAACATAAATTTCAACTAGTAATAGTTGCATAGTAAATAGTGAAATTATTGTAAAAATTTGAAAAGTCAACTTACCTTTTCTGTCAGAATTAAAATTCGTGAATATGCAGAGTTCATGAAATCATAAATATCCCATTGAAATAAATACTTCAGAATCTGATACTCCGAAGCATATTCTGTTGATTTATAAATAAAAATATGATGTAACTTTTGTATCTAATTTTTCTTTAATTTCTGAATTAGAAAAAAAACTTGCTTCTTACCTTTTTGATCAGCGTATGTTTGCGAAGACACAGAGTTGTCACCTGAAAACATCTGATTGTTCAGCAAGTTATTTTCCATGGATCTGTCAGTTTCTACTTGAATAGATTCTTCAGTATCCAGTGATGTTTTTGATTTCTCACCATGATTTTTAGAAGGATTTTTGAAATATTCTTCTTCGTGAACTCCATTAGGTGACTCCGTATCAGAGCCCGTATCTGCAAATTAATAAAGATAATTGTTGTTTTTTTTTTTTAAACTTGACTTATTGTAGTTTTCCCTTTTGTTTTCTAAGCAAGTTATTCGTTGACTCTTTGTGGTCATTGTGACTTCACTAGGGAAAGAATTCACTAAAGCACAGTAACTATAGCCTCATGTAAAAAATTAACACACACTTAGTGTTTTAAACAACATATTCTCTTAGAGTGCTGAAGTCCAAAATCCTGAAATCCAGGTATCAGCAGATCTGTTTTCCTTCTGAAGTCTAATGGAAAATCAATTCCCTTGCCTTTTCTACTTTCTCAAGAGCATGGGCCACGTGGTTTTGACCCCATCTCTTAGCTTCAAAACCAGCAGTGATAATTTCTCTCTCTCTCTCTCTCTCTCTCTCTCTCTCATAATGACCTTTTGCCTTCCTCTTATAAGAAAATTGTGATTCTGTTGTACACACCAGGATAATCACTAAGACTAATCTCGGGATGCTTTACTTAATCTTATCTGCTGGGTCCTTTTTTTCATTGTGAATTAACATACTCATAAAGTCTGGGGGTTAAGAAATGGCATCTTGGGCCTCCCTGGTGGCACAGGGGTTGAAGTCTCAGCCTTATCAAATTATCACCAGCCACTGTGGTTAAGTTTGCTCCCCAGACAGGGAAGCCAGCCTACATGGCACAGCAGATCTCTCCTGATCCACCTATTCTTTTTCCTGTCTGTCTCTAATGAATCTTCTCAGCCCCTGCAACTCTAGCCTACATTCCAGTTCTTGCATGCATAAAATAAATATAAATATTAACAAAGAAAACATGGCATCTTTAAGAAAACATTATTCAGTTTACCACATAGCCTTTCCATGGACAGAGGAGAATTTTTAAAACTTTTTACAATTCTATTTTTGATACCCCTTTTTTTTTATAAGGTTTATTTTATTTGAGCCCTCCCTGGTGGCACACAACATGTTAGGACACAGCACTGCAAGCTTGCCACAGCCTCTTCAGTGTGAGTTGGATCCCCAGCCTAGGAGGTGACCCACATGGGATGGCAGACCTCCCCTGTCCCACCCGCTGCTCCCCTCAGCAGTGAATTTCGTCACTCTGCCTGTTTGCTCCCCAGTCTGTCACAGGTGAATCCTCTCACTGCCACTGCACCTCTGGCCTGTATCCCAGTTCTGTATACATGAATAAATAAATCTTTTTTAAAAATATTTACTTTATAGCTGGGGTACAGGCCAGAGGTGTGGAGGATGATATGATTTGATTCATCAGAGAGAGAGTGGAGAGTAGAACAGGCAGATGTACTGAAATACACTGCTGAGGGGAGCAGAGGGCGAGACAGGAGAGGTCTGCTGTGACTTGTGGGTCACCTCCCTGGCAGGGGATGGTGATAGCTTCATAATGCTGAGACTTAACCCCTTGCACCAGCAGGGAGGCCCTTGATGTTCTTTTTTATGTCTTAAAAACAACTTACAAATAAACCTAACACCAGCAACTCTATTGTACTACAAAAGTACATAACTAAGAAAAAAAAAGTACATAACTAAGACAGCAAGTAGACTCCCATAGGATTTCATTTTTCGTAGATGCAATGATTATCAAAGAAGGTGTAATAGTAAAAAATCATTGCAAAAATATCTATCACCACCATTCAAGAAAATTGGTAAGATTTTTCTTAACTTTATTTGTTAGTGAACCAGAAAGAGAGTTAAAATGACTAAAATTGTTTATAGTTTCCACTGCATACTTGATAGTTAACTGTATTTAATAGATGGGTGTGTGAGAGAGAGAAAGAAACTAAGCTACTAAAATGAGCAAATATTTTAGCAATTAATTTTCAATTTTTGCAATTTTTTTATCCTGGTTCATGCATACCTACAACACATGTTTGCTACTAGGTACTATCAAATATAAAAATCATTATCACTCAAACTTTTAATGAGGTTGCTCCAACATTAGAAGTACCCATTACTAAAGAAACTATTGTTAGTTGTAGTTAGGGTATGTACTAACTTAGAATATGTAAAATCAATTTATAAATGATGAAGTTCCAATCAAATATCAAATATTGCACTTTTTCTGCTCTCCCTTAACATCTAAGCTTTTTTACTCTCTTCATCCCATGTATTTTTTATTCTTATATAGTATAGTAAGATATCTATTTAGAATATTAAAGAAATGATGAGTGAATAGAAACTTGTAAATATCCAAATCAGATACATTTTTTTGTAACAAGTGAAAATTTCAGAAGATATGGTTGAGAGCAATTCTTATTGGCTATCACTTACAGAATATTCTAGATTTTTTGTTTGTTTTTTAAAGATTTATTTATTGAATGATGCTTACAGAACTGGGGTAAAGGTCAGAGGTGTGGTGGGTGAGAGGATTTACCAGAGACAGATTGGGGAGTAGAACAGGCAGATCTACTGAAATACACTGCTGAGGGGAGCAGCAGGCAGGTCAGGAGTGGTCTGCCACGCCATGTGGGTCAGCTCCCTGGCAGGGGATCGAACTTGTGCTGCAGTGGCTTCAAAGAGCTTCATCTTGTGGTGCTTCAACCTGTTGTGCCACTAGGAAGAGGCCCCAGAATATTCTAGATTTTAAAGTAGATTCTGTTACTTGCTAATTTACTTCAGTGTGTTGTGTAAGACAATATAAAGTAAGTCCAAAATACTTTCTTGACAAATCATTTAAATTGGCCTTAGGAATTATACACTTATTTTAGAAATGTCAAGAAAAGGTTGATAGCATTGAAATAGCATTATGTGTGTTTGTATTAGCTCAGTAAAGAGAAAATACTGTTATTATAAGTACAATATAATAATAGCTACAAGATGTTTTCATCTAACTGTTAACCAAATACATGCTGCAGTAAGCATACACAAATATATCCTTTTTTGTTCAGACCCAATAGAGCATAAAGCTGTTCTAAGAAATCATGTTAAAATCAATACTAAATTGTATTTTGAATTTCTGTACTATTAATATGTCTGGCAAAGGCAAAGCTTCACATGAGATTAATGATTCCTTAACTTGGAGAGCTCATGAAATTTATATATTATTTCAGCAAGATATGAATATCACAGATTACTGAAAGAGAACTGAAGAAATTATCAATCTTATCACTGTTTTTTTAAGGAAGCCAGATAAATCTACACTGCCATATCAATTTTATTTACTATCCAGCTGACCATATGGTCATTATCTTAGGGGAAATGTTAATTTTATTTTGCATTTCAATGAAACAATGCTGGTAGAGGTTTAAATAAAATATTTTTCATTTAAAAAATATTCCTCTTTTTTTTTTGGCTTTTATACTACATGTTAACTATTTAAATGAATTTTTAAAAGATTGATTTATTTACTTTATGCATACAGATCTGGGATACAGACCAGAGGTGCAGGGCAGTGAGAGGATTCATCTGAGACAGTGGAGAGCAGAACAGGCAGATCAACTAAGTACACTGCTGAAGGGAGCAGCAAGTGAAACAGGAGAGGTCTGCCATGCCATATGGGTCATCTCCATGGGATTGAACTCAACACTAGGTGGCTGTGGCTTTCTTGCAATGCTGCATCCTAACTGGCTGCACCACCAGGGAGGGCCATATTTAAATTACTTGTAAATAATATGCCTGCATTAATATTTGAAATAACAATATTTATGTATATTTCTTAATAGCTTTCACTTAAAATGATTACTTTCTAAAACTAATTTTGTAAATTTTAATTTATATGTAGAAATTTGTGCACTTATATAATGTTGTACCATGTAAATACATGTGCATGACATGTCAAGTAGCTATCAATTTTTAAGACAATTCAATTCTCAAACAGTTTAAACTGTTAGCTTGATTGAATGAATTAATCAGTTTTTTTTAAGATCTAACTAGTTCTATATTAAATGAACTAATCAAAGTTATTTTTCTAAGCTCTACGTAAACTATATTATTCAAGTAAAATTTTTTTTACTTGAAATTATTTCTCAGTTACTCTTTAAAACAAGGATATGAATGTATTTGTGCAGTCAATATTAAAGAGTAGTAAATGAATTATTTAAGTCCCAATTATGCTTTGGAGCTATGAATTTGATATAGCACTTTGATGCTGTCACTTATTTAGCATTTTCTAAAAGTCTCAAGTGAGCAAATCTGTATAATGCCACGTGAGGACATTAAAATTAAAAATGAGCAATCAACTGAAGAGTCTGAATACAATGAGACTGTTGTAAATACAGCTATACTGTATTTACTAGACTACTAAAATAGTAGTCTAGGATAATTTTTAATAGCATTGGGGAAAATACAGCTTATTCAATAATAGCACTCAAATTTACATTGGCTATATTTGATTTTTTTAAATATTGTTTTGAACTGCATTAAGTGAATATATAAGAAAATCAACCTTTTCTATAGTAACTTCATATTTAACTTGCTCTGAGTTGTTATTTTCATAAGACTTATACCTACACTTAAGGATTTACAGTAGATATAGATATATCATACTGATAATTGTTTTAAGTCAAATAAAATAATGAGTAACTTCATATTTAAGTGTACTGGGAAACAAAAGAAGCCCAGTTGGAGTTTTTACTGTGTGTGTAAAATAGATATTAGTATCATAATATAAATAACTATTCCTAATTTATCTCTTTTGTAAATTCTTTTATCAGTGTATTATTTTTCTCTAATTGTAGTTAGCTCACACTCAGTCTTTCCCCAACATTGTCTCAAAATCAATGACTCAGAGGCCTCCCTGAGGGCCTCAGGGTTGTAACCATGGTAGCCCACTGTTGCAGCCTGAGTTCCATTCCCAGGCAGGGAGCTAAAAACCCATTACATGGTGAAGCAGACTTGTCCTCCTATAAAGGAGTAAAGAGAGAGATCCTGATGGACTGTGTTGGAAGGTTATAGAAGCCATGGTGGTTGGTGTGGTATGGTAAACACAACTGAAGAGCTGTGAACCTATACCTCTGAGTCACACACAGTGTTGTAAACCAGCATTGCCTCAAAACAAAAGTACAAAAAAGAAAGAAGCTATATGTTGAGGATCTTGATCAAGCAACGAGCTCATGTTTTGGAGAGTATTAAGAAATCACATAAAATTACTTTGAAGATTTTAAAAATCCACTAGTTCTAACAGAAATATGCTTTCTTCTGAATTTGCAGCATTGTTAATCTTTTCTTGTGAAAGGTTTCTTTGTCATTATAGGATTCAATTGTTCCTGTGTTATTTGCCAATATTTGCTGAGTTTCTAATCTGTCCATCATAGAGACATAAGATTGAACACGTGAGAGTCCTATTATATAATATAATCCATTTGTTTTTAATCATAGGACTTGCTGGGTACCAGATATCTGGATCTAGAAGTATCCTCTAACCCTATTCTCATCTGTTGCCCTCACTTGAGTTTCCAGAATTGAGATACTTAAGGGGGAAGGTGAAAACTTTTTATCTTATTTTTGCTTGAGTTTCCATATTATTTTATATACTTAAAGAGACTCTTTGTATAATAGACTTCCTTAGGGAAAAAATATCTACAGATCTAGGAAAAAATTGCTTTAGGATTATTGAATTATTTTAATTATTAATTTCCCTCAATTTATGTTTCTTTAAAAATCATTCAAATAAAGTTATAACAGAAAGGTATCTATGATCTAATATATAAATGTAAATGAGCAAAAGTTGTCATCTGCCAAAATAGGAAATCAGTGGTCATTGTCTAAAATAGAATAATCAAAGCAAAAATATATAAAGATTTTATGTCAAAAACAGAGGTAGATACTAAAAGAAATTAGTTTTGAAATTAATAAGTTTTTGTCCCTTGAACAGAGGTGGGAGCAGAGATGGGTTGGGGGGAGAGAGTGAGGGTTAGGGCATTAATTGTTAAAAAATAAAAGCTGGGGCCCTCCCTGGTGGCGCAACAGGTTAAAGTGCAGCACTATGAAGCTAACACAGCCACTGGGGCATGAGTACAGTCCCCAACCAGGGAAGTGACCCACATAGTGAAGCAGATCTCTCCTGACCCAGCCGCTGCTCCCCTCAAGCAGTGTATTTGAGTACATTTGCCTGTGCTGCACCCCACTCTGTCTCTGGTGAATCCTCTCAGCCCCCGCACCTCTGGCCTATTCTCCAGTTCTGTATGTATAAATAAATCTTTAAAAATAAAATAAAAGCTTTAGCTCTATTTAAATCTTTTTTTTTTTAAAGATTTATTTATTGTGCATACAGAACTGGGGTACAGGCCAGAGGCTCAGGGGCGCTGAGAGGCTTCACCAGAGACAGAGTGGGGAACAGAACAGGCAGATCGATGAAGTACACTGCTGAGGGGAGCAGCGGGCGGGTCAGGAGAGGTCTGCCACGCCATGTGGTCACCTCCGGGGCAGGTGGGAATCGAACTCATGTGGAGGCGGCTTTAGATTCTCAGTGTTTTAACCCGCTGCGCCACCAGGGAGGGCCCTCTATTTAAATCTTTTGACCTGTTTATAAATAATACTTCAATAAGAATAAAATGTATTGTAAAATACTGAAAGACCTTCTGGGGATATCATCACATCTCCAATCATTCTTTTCCCCTTAGTATTTTATTTTTGAAGGTTAAGATCTCTGAGAGTAAACCAGAATAAAAGTAAGGTTGATAATGTTGATTATTGAATAAAAGTAAAGTTGATAATGATTATTGAGTAACTTGAAAAGCATAGATTCCTGGACTTTTTCATCTAACTTGTACTTACAAAAATAAATTATGTTTGAAGCAGACCTTTCTTGTCTTACCCACTTCTCCCTCAGCAGTGTATTTCAGTAGACCCACCTGTTCTGTTGCTCAATCTGTCTTTGGTGAATCCTCTCACCACCCCCACACCTCTGGTCTGAACCCTATTTTTTATATGCATAAATAAATTTTTAAAATATTTTAAAAACATAAATGAATAAATTATATTCAATAATTAATTATATAATTTTATACCAGTCTGACTTACTGTATCTGCTTTTTAACATCAAAATTTTCTTATCATCTGTGGGATAACTTTCAACTGAAAATAATTCTGTTTCATCATTTCCAGCTACATTATTTTCATCCAGTATGTGTTCAGAAAATGACAATTCTGTTTCCTTTCGAGTGTTCTGGAAGTTCCAAGGGTTGTCAAAATTATTCAAGAACTTTTGAAAATATGGTAAGGTGCCAGAATCATCTGTTTTCTCTAAAGCATTTTCCTTGCCTACTTGATCTTTAGTTTCCATAGTTTTTGTTATTTTCACCCCTTGTCCCTTATCAAGGTCAAATTCACTTATTGGAGGATGTTCATGTTTCTCTCCTTCACTTCCTTCTTTTCTTTCATCATCTAATTTAATTTTATTGTCATTGGCATATGCAAAACTTAACATACTAAAACCAAAATCAAACCAATTTGGAATGAGAATTGAGCTGCCATTAGTGACTGTGTCTTCTTTTTTTGTTAATGTTTCTGTACATGGAACTGTGGGTTCTTCATCAGATGATATGGAACTAGGAATATCTTGTAGTGGTAGATTGTTTTCTGGAGTCAATTCAAGCTCTGTATCCTCCCCTCCAAAACCTAAATAATTTGTAAATCCACCGCCAAACCAACCAGTGGCTTGAGTTTTGTGATTGTGCCCTGATTCAGATACTAGGGCAGGTTGTTTCTGTGGCATTGAATGGGATTCTGATTCAGGTTTCAGCTTATATTCTCTTTGGGACTCACCATCATTTAATTCCTCTAGGTAATTTTCATCTTCCACTGCTATTTTTCTACTTTGAAATGAGTTTTCATGTAGAGATTCAGTAACTGATTCAAAATTCTGTTCTTTGGCTTGCTCCATTCCAAATCCAAGCCATCCTTTCACTTCAGGCACAGCTGAAGATGGTGGGACATGATCCACCTCTGGAGTGGGTCCCTGTGCTACGCTTCCTGCCTCTACTTCTTCCAAATCTTTTGACTTACTGGTACTTTGGACATCTTCTGGAGCCTCTGATGTTAGAAATTCATATTCAAGCAAAGTACTTTCAGAAGTTGAATAAAATCCAGGTTCTGTTTGAAAATCACTTGCAGAAACACTAGTTATTTGGTCTTCTTCATGAGAATAAATATTTTTGCCATTGTCACTGTCTAACGCACTATCTTCAGTTTCAAATATGTAGCTTTCTTCAAGAAGACAAAAAAAGTCAGATTCCTGAAAAGAAAAAATTTATAACTGACATAAAAATACTAAAACTTCTTGCTTCTCCCTGAATAAATATAGATGGATGACTATGCTGATCACACAACAGCAAAGTAAAAACTTTAAAATTACATCTCCTAATCTCAAATAATTTTATCACAACTGACTTTCTCATGGTTAAGGATATAAATCTAAGTGAAAACTCTTTTTATATTATAACTTATTTATCATCAAGTAGTTGAAAAAAATTGAGAAGCAGAGACAATCAAGACTTTAAATGCATTCTGCAAATAAATTGATGAAAACACATACAGGCCCACAAAATCTTGCTCCTCCGAAGAGTACATTGAATGGACACATGCAATTTTGTGGTAACTGAAAGAACAAAATTTCACAGTACATGGTCATAGATCAGATAGACAAGGACTAAAGTGTGAAGACCTGCTTTCAAGCAACACTAAGACATTTTGACTTCTTTTATTAAGATATTGCCTATTATGGGCCCTCCCTGGTGGCACAGCGGGTTAAAGCACTGCACTAAGAAGCTAAAGCCGGGCCCTCCCTAGTGGCGCAGCGGGTTAAAGCACTGCATTGAGAAGCTAAAGCCACTTCCACATGAGTTC